TATTGGGGTTATGTATTGCAGGTAGTTGACCCTAAACTTGCATCATACAGAGTTGGGAAAGCCTAGTATGCTGTGATTCAATTTGCGCAAACAGTTTTTCATCGTGAGCGTGGTAAGATGATTTGAAGACTTTTGAGGAAAGTGATACTCTAAATCAAAAGATAGTGGTTAGCTTCAGTTGCACTAACCAGCATGGGTACATGCTACTTTAAATTTGGTACCATCTGCTTGTAGCTCTAATGTTAGAGTTTATTTTAGGTATTCGTCCATGGCTTAATTTCTTTTCAGAATTGCTTATAAATGTATTACGGAGTATACATTTTAAGCCACATTTTCCATTAGCCTTAGCCTGAGAATCATTACTGCATGGGAGCGCAACTTACAAATCATCACGCACTATTTGAATCATTTGTAAAGTTTAATGTTCGATGGGATCCCACTCTATTGTTGTAATCAACAATGGCTGGAAAATTTAGTTTATTTTGTTCAGATTAGAAATATAGATAGGCCTTTGATCCCTTGCTAACTCGATCAACTCTATTCTCACTCTCCTCTCATATCATCTTTCTTTAAACTCCTTGTCTTTCTCATATTCTTCCATCTTTTCACTCCCTTTCACCCAAAATATAATTAATGTGCAGTTTGGCACAAGAGCGTCAACTCTAGGGTTTCTGAACCTTTCAGATCTGTGTTTTTTGCTTTTCGGATCTACGATTTTCGCAGTAAGGTAAGTTTCTATGATTTCCACTACAAATAATTTTCCTATTTTCATATGTTAATCTGTGGTTTCTATCAATCTTTCATTTTCAGATCTTGAAGAGGTATATGATAAAATTTCAGATCTCGTGTTCATCTTATCTTGAAGAGCTCCATGATGAAATTTCGGATCTTCAATGTTGAACTGCTGTTGCCGAGGTTGTTGCAGAAGCTACGGCGTTTCTCTTTTCCTTCCATGTTTTAATTTCAGTGTTGGGTGTATTTTTTTTACAGAATTGTTTGTGTAAGGAAGAGGAAATTTCTCTTAAAAAACATTGGTGTGATATAATTTGGACTATTTGATGTTTGATTTCATTTCATCCATTCTTTGTTGTTTGTGTGATTCATGTTTCTTGTGCGTATGGGATGCCCGGGATAGGGGTGAGGAGATGGAGATTCAAACATTTCATTTTAATAGTGCAAGGGCATTCTTGGAAGGTCAATGCCATTTTTTCCATTCCTTAAATATGCCCTAAAGTCAAAACGGGCAATATAAATCGGGACGGAGGGAGTAATTAATGTGCAGTTTGGCACAAGAACGTCAACTCTGGGATGTAAATATTCTTTGATAATTGATACCAATAACCCTTTGAATCGCACGAGAGTAGAGTTTGGGTTATGCATTTCGTACTATTTGTTTTGTTGGGAAAAATTATAGATTTTGATGATGATATATTTAGATTGTAATAGGGACTTTTGGTCTCCTCCATTATTTAATGTAGTTTTAATTTTAAAAAATATTGTTAAAACTAAGTTCTTGAGATTTTAAATAAAACCAGTGATATTTCATTTTGAATTTTTGAAACTTATCAAATTCAGTGATATGGAAATTAGAACTCTTGCTATATATGTATGTGTGTGTGTGTCTATATATATATATATAGAGGCAAACATAAAGAGGAATAATAAAAAATTCAACCAAATTTGCTTGCAAATCCAGGATTCCTCACTCCCAAGAAGAAGGAGCAAACGCCTCTCCGACTTGAAAGCTCGAAATAAAGACCTGTATTAAGTTGGTTTGAGTAGTTTGCTACAATTACTTGGATCCTTTCTCATTACACTCATTTGATGATCTGCACATTTTGGAGCTACTTGGTTTGTTTTGCCTAATTGCTACTTTTGAAAATAACTTCAAAGTTTGGGAAGCCAGAATGCATCTGTTAAGGCCATTTTAGGCTTCATCTTTTGTCTTTCGCCACTAAACTTCAAAACCCCTGCTTTTCTGGAATGGGAACCCAAAACGGGAATTTGGAAGCAGCTCTTTGATACAGCATCAGTTGCGACCAAGCATTTTCTCTAAGGGCTATCTCTTAGTATTCATGGATGGCATCAAGATTACTTGCACTATCGCATGATGAACTTCTCTTACAGAACCCACTCCATCTTGGGACATTGCAGTTGTATTCTGCAAGTATCCATAGACTCTACTCCAAATAAAATAAGACAGACGGGAAGAAGCTACTTTTCAATACTTGGTTTAATGTATTTGCCATTTGGTTTTTTGTTTCTTTCTCCTTCGTATGTCCTCTCTTGAATTTGATTCCCTGGCCAACTTGTTGGGGTATGGGCCACCCCCTCAATATATATATATATATATATATATATATGTATGTATGTATGTATATATATATATATGTATGTATATATATATGTATATATGTATATGTATATATATATATATATATGTATATATGTATATATATATATGTATATATATATATATATGTATATATATATATATATATATAGTGTTTTAATCTTCTAATTAACAAATTTAACTACAAAATTATATTATTACTTTAAATAAAAACACCCCAAAAGTATAATTTTCAAAAATCATAGTTTGAATTTCATAACCAATTAATGCGTCTCTATTGATTTCTAATATTTTACTCCACTGTTTACACCCCATAAAACAATCAGAGTATCAGACTATAACGAAAAACATCCAAGTATAATAATTGGCTTATGCTATAAGTGTAGGATATCCCATTCAGATTAGAACGAAAACATCGGACTCCTAGAAGTGTTACATTTATGAGTAGTCCCTGATAAACAACAATACTAATATTACTTCTGGTAGTATTGGTTATAGTAGTGTATGATTATTAGTTAGTTTCTTATTCTTATTTGTGGTATATGTTGTATTTTAGTTAATCTATATTCTCTGTTCATAGTTGTGTTAGGAATCTTTTCTTATATATATATTTTATCATGTATTGCATAATTCAATGAGCAATATTATTATTTCAAAATTTCGACATGGTATCAGAGTCGCCGCTCTTGATGACCTAAAAGAGTTCTTTGTTTCCACTGCCGTCGCCGGTAATTTCGGTGACAGCGACTCTACCTTATTCATCCACCTCTATTTTCTTTTAATTCTTTTATCCTCAAAATAACTTCTCCTTTCAAAAAAAAACCCATGTTGAAATCACACAAAAAAAGCGTCAAAGTAGGAGCTCCCCTCTTGTTGTCTCTATGGTTCTTCCAAAAAAACGCCAAAGGGAAACTGCCCTCAAAATCCACAACTGCTCCACCATTGGCTACGCCTAAATCTCATTTACTCTCGAGCCGATGTCTTTAATTTTTCAGATCGACAACTCCTCAAAATAAAAAACTTCTTTCAACTAATCATCTTATCTTCTCAAAAAAGGAAAAATACGATAGTTATTTTCTCCAATTCACCATATCAAAGATCTACTTGTTGTGACCCTTTTTAATTTTGAATGTTTAAAATCTCAAAACTTTATTATCCTTGATTTTTAAAATTCAGGGGTTGTGGTTTTAGAGGCTCACAAAGAATATTGAAAAGCGACTCCAAAGAAAGTCTTCTCCCAAGAGGCACCAAGTTGAAAGAAAGTTCTCTTCCAAGAGGTCCAAGAAAGAAAAATTCTCTTCCAGGAGGCACAAATCTCCGAGAAAAGTCCTCTTCCCCGAGGCACCAAGTCCTCTTCCCGAGGCACTAAAAAGAAGGAAAAGTCCTCTCCCAAGAGGCACCAAGTCGAAAGGAAGTCCTCTTCCAGGAGGCAAAAATCCTCAAGAAAAATCCTCTTCCCCGAGGCAACAACTCGTCTTCCCGAGGCACTAAAAAGAAAAAAAAAGGTCCTCTTCTAAGAGACCAAGTCCTGAGAAAGTCGTTTTCCAAAGAGGCACAAAGTCCTAAGAAAGTCTTCTTCTAAGAGGTACCAAGTTCCGAGAAAGTCTTTTTCCAAGAAGCACCAAGTCTAAAGAAAGTCCTCTTCCAAGAAACACAAATCTTTGAGAAAAGTCTTCTATTAAGAGACACCAAACCTCGAGAAAGTCCTCTTCCAAGAGGCACCAAGTCAGAAGAAAGTCGTCTTCTAAGAGGCACAAATCTTTGATAAAAGTCCTCTATTAAGAGATAGCAAATCTCGAGAAAGTCCTCTTCCAAGAGGCCCAAAAAAGATAGAAAAATCATCTTCCAAGAGGCCCAAAAACGAAAGAAAAGTTTTCTTTCAAGAGGCAAAAATCTCTGAGAAAAGTTATCTTCCGAGAGGCCCCAAGTTAAATTCTTACCCATGAGGCAACATGACCCTCCTAAAAAGAAAGTCCTCTTCCCGAGGCACCAAGGAAAATTCTATCCCATGAGATAATCCACCGAGTCATATAGTTTCTGAGTTTGTCACGTCTCTCGAGACAGACTCGAAACTAAGGGGCATGTGATGGATTAGGGATTTTACCTAATCTTATATTATTTAAACTAGGGGTGGGTACGGGCCAGTCCGAGCCAAGTTTTGCATAAACTGGACTCGGCTTGTTTTTATTAAAACAGTCTGGGCCGGAACGTGTTTTCAAAATTTTAAAATTGAAACCGGGCCTAACCCGGCTTGTTTGAAACGGACTGATTCCACGGGTCGACGGGTCCGAATCTATCATGATACTAACATTCTCCAAAACAAATAGAAATTATAGAATAATGCCTTCAAAGGGTAACTAGATGGTGGATTATGAGGAATTGAGGTGTGAATAATTGCAGGCCACACGTGCACATACAAAACTGACGTAGAAGGATAAATGAAAATAAAACGATTGCATAAATGAAACACGTCCACATAAATAAAACACGTCCACATAATTGCAGGCCACACATCCTGGAAGGACCGAAAGATTGAAGGGCTTAGGTGGATATATCCATATATTTTCTAAAAATAATATTAAAAATAATATTAAAAATAATATTAAAAATAATATTGAGATTTAAAAAAACGGTCCGGTCTGGATCCAATTCAATTTCAAAATGGGGAACCGGACCAACCCTAAAATCTATAAGGATTGGACCGTTTAAAATTTTTGAAATGACGACCCGGACCTAACTCGGACCGAACCTGGCGGTCCGGTTCTGACTCGTGATTCCTGGACCCGATTGCCAACCCCTAATTTAAACAGTACAAGTAAGCCCAATTCTGTCCAGCCCAAGATATAAATCAGATAAATTATTTAAGACGGAACCAGAGATATATAGATAGAATAATATATTTGAAGTCATTAATGATATTCAGCTGGACCGCAGAACATTATCACATGTAAACCACATGGACTTTACATGGAGGATGTCCTATTTTGTCTCCATCAATCACTCTCTTCCCTCCTGTAAATGTGAAGCTGCGGAGAGGAGGAGAGAGGCCAAATTCCTACAACTTCCTACTATTACTCTTCATTCTTCTTCTTTTTTAAGCTTGGAGCTCCATTAATGGTTCCAAGCTCCTACAATGATGTTTATGTAAATTTCCCGAGATTAATAAAATTTCCTCTTTTTGGCATGGCACTACCTAAATACTTTCTCTCTACCTTATTTATTTATTTATTTTCCGAATTTCGCGATTCAGTGTGGTGCCGACCCGGTTTTGAGTTCGTCGGGTCCACGCCCCGAAAAAGCGGTTTTCATCAGGTATGGTATTGTACCGTTTCATTTCAAAGCGGAATTGTATCGAATGGTTTTAGGGTTCATACCGTATCAAAACCGAACCGTATAAATAAGAACAGTCCGTGATAGGTTCCGGTAGTATCATGGACCGTTCCCGCCCCTACTATATTGCGGGGTTTTCTTTTTATTTTGATATATTATTAATGTTTTACTCTTATTTTATTTCTTTATTAAAAAGTAGAATCATGTTAAATTAAATGCTTCTGCATAGTAGAGTTTAGATTTTAATTCCTATTTTAAGATATGACATCTCTTTTATTATGTTTTGGTCCTTAACCCTTTTGACAATAGATTTGTATACCTCCTAATGATTTTAAATTTGAATCTGCAGGTAGTAAGAGTTTTGATGAACGGTTTAGTGAGGGTATATACCAGGCAGTATCAATGAATTTTCTCTTTTTCACATTTTACTTTAGAAAAAAGTATATACATTTTTATTTTTCAAATAGGAGTTAAAATGCATTTACATTACCAAACATGATCATGTACATTACTAAAAAATATAAAAATGTGCACAGGTACAATGCCACATTACAACCATATTCCAACAATGCAAAGTCCTATTTCGTGAATAAAAACATGAAACTCTTATTTCAGCATTTTTTTTCTATGTTTCAGTTCTATTTATGGTGATTTCTATTTTATTTTTTTAGTGCGATTTTCCTCTTCTCTTACTCATTTAATAATTCTAGTGATTATTCACCCATCCAGAATCTTTTAGTCTAACAAAAGTTCAAGAGTAGTTCCACCGAGATCTGCCCAGAGCAGCGTTCTTTGGCCACAACTTCCAAAGTGGTCTCGCTCTATACAGTTGGTGTTCCCCTTTTCATCTAATCCATCACAATATATTACATTTTCGACAATCAATTACCACAATCCAAATTCATTGAACAAATATATCAACAAAGTCAACATAAGGACCAGATCAGGGTTTTTAACTAAGATGTCCACCAAACCAACATCTTCTAAGCATGCTCAAAAGAAATAATTTTTACGTTATCACATGAAGCTGGCTATGAGCAGCACCAAATCATTTGGCATCTTGGAATCTCGACATACAACAACAACAACATTAACAACAACAACCGCCAAGTCTTATCCCACTAGGTGGGGTCGCTACATGACTTGAAATCTCGACATAATAACGAGAAATCAAACAGCCACATAGAGAATCAAATCAGTTTGGGTTTCTTGTTTGCAGCTCTTTGCTTCACTTTTTCTAACACCTTCAAAAGATGTGCCGCTGACGGACGTGAATGAAGATCCTCTTGAAAACAAAGTTTTACCAAGTTAGTGATTTCAATACCATCCTCGAGATCATCTGTGAGAGATGGATCCACAAAATTAATCCCTGGTGTATCCATGTGGCGAATAGCCCAACCCTGTAGAAACCATCCCATCCTCCCCTCCCATAAGGCATCACCAGCTGTTGGCTTCACTTTACAAATCAGTTCCATGAGGAAAATTCCAAATGCATAAATGTCGGATTTCAAGACGAATTTACCTGCATAGTTGAACATCAAATATCACCGGTTCCATGCACAACAAAGGAACCATTTAGGACTAAACATACAAATACAACAACATTATCCCAGTGCCTTAAAGGCTCCCGCACATTGCGGGGTAGGGGGGTTAGATGTACGCAGACAGACCTCTATGTTTGAAACATAGAGAGACTGTTTCTGGATGACCCATGATGAACATCAAGAGTTGCATTGAAAAATGGCTACTTCACTACAAAAGAAATGCAGACAATTTACAATGTTATTTTGCTTTATTCCATCATACCCCAAAGCCAAAGAACAGTGAATCTATGGCTCCATCGGCGATGATGGACTAAATTACAAATGAGAGAAGCATAGATGACTACATGAAAACCATTTGAGAGTAAACAAACATATGAAGGAAGAACAAAGATCTAAAGGCCAAAAACATTCATAACACAACTACCTGAAAACCACTATTTGCCGGTTCACATAAAGCATATTTGCATGCATGGTAAGAGCAAGTCATGGAATATATTCAAATCAATCATCATCACTAAAGAGACAACATTAGTTGATTAGTTGGAGAGATAAAAACCAGCACAGTTAGCCAGGTTTGCAAATAATGAGAAAACCACCACTGACACCTGAATAATAATGCATATGTCAAGTATTTTTTCAATTTTACGTAGCTACCAAGGTAGCAAAGAAAAAATAAAACAAAAGAAAGAAAACTTCTCTCTGTAAAAACTAGTGTAAAACTGTGGGGCAATAGTGCAAAACTGCAAATTTTAAAACGTTCTCAGCCACCAATATTGTAATATCTTCAAATTTAACGGCTTATTAATCTGAAGACTTCGCTTTCCCATCAGTAACGTTCATATCTCCATAGAAATTGATCCCGGACTCCGCCATAATGGCAGTGGCGCCACCCCATCACTTCTCACCTTTACCTTTACAATCATCCCCAAATCACCGGCCTAATCATACTACTATATCAAACCAATATATTCAGATTGATATCCCTTTATCTACAGATTTGAAAGATGCAATCCCTAACCCTAAATTGCAAATTGAAACAAGATCTGAAAAGAAAAACTTTCAGATAGATTCTTGAGCCTAAAACACCTCCTATAGTCCCTCCAACAAGAGCCCCTAAGATTTTCAAAAATGCCCCCAGCATCAGTGTTCTATAAGCCTGCATTTGATAAGATAGTGGAACCATTTTGCTTTCAACTGTGGGAAAGTTTAACAATTTACCCTCCCTCACTAAACATGCTACTTAGACTGTCCATAATACCTCATTTTAGAAGAGGCATGATCCTAAGTGGCTAAGCCACGTTGTCGTGAAACTCTTGAAACACCGCCCCTCATAGGTGTGAGTGTGCTTCCGTGATCGGTGAAGTGACCATGGTCACGGCCAAAATCTTTACTTTCCCCATGTTTCTTTATTATAGAATGGTAACACGATAAAAAAATTAACTTTTTTTCATTTTCTGGAAATTCCCAATGATTAACATATAAAAAAATAAATTCTAAAAACTCCATTCTCCTCCTATTTAAATACTCACTATTTTCACTCTTTTTCTCCCCACATTCTCACTTCTACTCTCATTTCTCACTTTATTTCTAAATTTTTTTCTATACATTCTACTTCTACTCTATACCTACCATGATCTCTTTCAAGCTGATCAGTCCATATTCAAACCAAAACCGTCCGATGTTCAATTGGAACATTCCCAGCAAGAAGGGCTGAAAAGAACAAATATGTTGTGGTTGAACAACGAGGAAGTCGCGTTAGCAACAAGTTGGATAGACACGTTGCATTTTGGGAGCATGTCCATAAACAATTTCATGCGACTGTACAAAAAGATAAATATTGTACCGTTGACATGTTAACTAGTAAATGGCGAGTCCTAAAAAAAGGTTGGTAAGTTCGTTAGATTCTATAACCACCATTCCAACAATAGAAAAAGCAATTGGGCAAAGACGACATGTACAACGTTGCATCGGTTGATTTCAAAATGGAGATGAGATATGATTATCCGAATGGTGCGTCATGGTGGGTTATGAGGAGATGTCCAAGGTGGAATGAAACCAATGCATTTAGACCCTCAAAATGCTCAAAAACTTCATCCTCAAGCAATTCTTTTTCTAACAATCAAGGGTCGGATGTGCATTACTACGTCAATAAGACAATAATGAGCTTTTCGTGGATGAGCCGTTGAGGCTGATGGGTCGAAATCGAGCAAAGGTGGAGGAGAGAGGAAAAGGAAAAGACATTACAAGACGGCATTGTACTCTTTGTCCAATAAAATGACCATATTTTAGAGATGAAAAAGGCAACCAGCTCTATAAAAAAAAATCGCCAAATAGTCTCCGACATGATGTTCCTTAACAAGAGCACAGAACAAAGAAAAAATAAGACAATATGAGTACAAAGACTATTTTTGGTTTTTCTACACTTCTTTAAATTATGCAATCATGCATTTTTAAAGTAATGCTATCGTGTTCTTTTTTAAAATTAATGTAGTTTTCATTTTTTATTACTACCTCCATCCCTAAGTAGTTATCCAATTTTGACTTTTTTAGTCACCTATTTCAACCTTTGACCTATAATTAAATAAATTATATATTATATATTAATTAGATAAAATATATTTTAAAAGTATTTGATATAATAAAATCTAATAAAACTATTTTTGTATCAATATCTAATATCATTTTTATTTAATTTGAGGTCAAACTTTACCAATTTTGACCAAAAAGTCAAAATGGGTCAAATACCTAGGGACGGAGAGAGTATATCATTATTATATTAAAAAAAACATTAAAAAAGCTATAAAAAAAAGAAACTAAAAAAGGGCTGGAAAAGAACAACAGTACAACAACAATGTGCAGTAAGTAGGTTTCTGAATAGGAAACTAAAAAAAGGGTTTCTCATTGATAATTGATACACCAAGTACTCTATGGATATAAGTAGGTTTTTAAATGAATGCCTTCAAAAGTTCTCAAAAGCTCATAACATCTACGTGCATATTGTTTTACTTTTCATTTTGATACATAACTCTGATCTTACAACATTTTGTAACATGCTAAATTAAATCTTTTATCTCGTATGAATTCAATTTTGATCATTACAAAGCTTTCACAGATCATTTTACTCCAATATATAATATGGTTTATAGCTTGGGCAAATCGTTACAAAGTTTGCAAGATAAAGTTTTCTAATTTTTGTATGCTTGAAGCTATTGGAGTCCAATTAGTGTGTTTTCTCATTGGTTTCTTAAGGTGTTTGTCTTTGTTTGTATATTAGTTTAGTTCAGTCTCTGATACGGTTTTAGATCGATGAAGATACGATGGAGTTTTTTTGGGTAAAGGGAGATTATCCCGCAAGGTATTCTAGGATGGCCAAGAACCATGAGTTGCACACATTCAACAAATAGGTTCTCCTGGCTATTTGATAAGGTGTATGGGAGAGACTCATATGTTTTTCTTTTTAGGCTGATTAGGCTTGGATTGGAATTACACTTTGGCCAAGAGTTCAAAAGGGAGGCCATAAGGGCCATAGGACAAGAGTCACAAGACACGTGATAAGCATCTCCATAGGCAACAATAAGACAACTAGTATTGATGGGACCTGCAAGAGATTGTATTTTCATTTCTTCATTGAGAATATGTACTTTCTGTTCCATAGTCCCTTATCCCCGCCAAGCGGAGGTTTACATTATTGTTTTAGGATAAGAAAGGCACCATGCCCCCCAGAAATGCCTCTCATAGTTTATTCGAATTATGCTTATGAAGTCCTCTGTTATATTTTAAATGTAGAACTACTTTGATATTATATATCTTTTATCTATAAATTGTATTTAATTTTTGGAAAACTATTCTACCCGTGCCACATCAACATCAACCTTTCCCTCCTTAGTAAAGATGTTGTCAATATATAAATATTTTTAAAAATGGAAAAATTTTTGGCCGTGCATTGCATGGGTGCGAAATCTAGTGAGGATCAGAAAACAAGTCATCCAAAATTTAAGGAATCTTTGGAATGCAAGGGATATTGCTAACCTTGGAACTCAAATCAGAGTTAAGAAGATAAAAAAGAATTTACAAGCCTTTGTCATTTTTTATCCTTGAACCTATGGTTTCTGCTTCTAATGTCCATAATCTCTGTGGGTTCTTAAGGGTTCAGAGATGCTTTCGCTAATACATGCAAGAATGTGGATCTTTTGGTCACATGAATGCAGATGTGATATAATTTAAAATCTGCCAGTGTGCTTTTCTTTGAATATCCAGATTGTTAAACATAACATGTTGATTTCTGCTATTTATGCTAAATGTAACAAAATATGAAAACAATGAGAGAAGGTGCACTAACACCTGAATAACAATGCATATATCAAGTATATATTCAACTTTACCTCCTGAACAGTTCACTTCAGGAATATAAGTAGCATATGATCCCCCAGTGTACACCCAAGTGATTCTGCGCCTCTCAGCCACTCCTACATGAGATCGGAGACCAAACTCGCAAAGTTTGACATTCCATTCCTGTGCCCCAATATCGCATCAAAATTGCAAAGTTCAAGACAAGTTCATAATTATAATTCCAAATAGATGTTTCAAAACGAATGTCCAAACCTCATCAATAAGCATATTGGAAACATCAATACCCCCGACGTGGACAAGCTTACTATGGAAGTCCATTATCAACTTTGCAACTTGAATAGCAATATCAAGTCGAGTATTCCAGTCGAGCTCGTCTATGTCAAAAAAGAAAAAGTTCAACGAATTAGAAAAATAAATATTTAAGCAGAAAAAGAAAAACCCAAAACAAGCAATATACTACCCGAGTCAAGCATAGACAGAAGAGAATTCTTGATATTCATTTGATAGATGACGGCAAACGTATTATCAAATGTGTAACCAACTAGGTTGGGAAGATTTCGATGGCGTCCAAAACCACCCAAACACTCGTCTTTGGTAAGAAAGGCCACCTCATCCTGCCAAATTTAACAAATTACAACTTTTACCAAGAACTGCATCCGGCAATAACAATACAAATTAGACCAAACGGATGCTTACACAAAGTGCATAAGGATGCAAAACCATCAATCGACTTATAGGGGCATAGACATCCCAAGTCTTAATTATGATCTCATTCCCATTGCAATCGCGCCCTCTCAAAATTCTACCAAAAAGGGTCTTTCCCAGAAGATTTTTTTGTTTTGTATCATGTGTGAACTCTTTCAAGTCACCGTGATGGAAATACTTGACACCTGCAAGCTCAATTTCTTGAAGACTGCCCTCTCTTTTCCCCCTAGAAGCCACATATTTTTTGTTCAGAAAACAAACTTAGCAAGTACTAATGCATACTATAATATACAGCCAGTACTAATATGCAGAGAAGTAAAAAATGGAATTAAAAACAAGAACAAAAAATGGCATGAGAGATAGAGAACAGTACAGTTGCACCTTAGTCGGAGAAAAAAAAGAGGGGATGCGCAAGACGAGGTGTCTAGGGCTACGAATCCTAACTTACGAACGCTAATCATGTTTAGGCAATGTTTAATATACTCTTATTTCTGTTAATTAAAATACTAATCTAACCTTAATCTTAAAATCATGATTGGGAAATGTTTAATATACTCTTATTTTTTGTTAATTAAAAGACTAATCTAACCTTAATCTTAAAATTTTGGGAAAAGAAATTGTGTATGCCCCGATCTCGCCTCATTTTGTACGTCCTGAGGCGTAAGCCTCCATGCGCAATTGCTTAGAAATCAAAATTGCCTATTGCTAGATCCATAGTTATTAATGGCAAGTGGCAAGGGGGCCAAGAAGACCTTTTTTAAGCAAAGAGGTGAGCGGTCAAATGGCAAACATATATCTCTGTGTGTGTGTCTAATACTAATAACAATACACAATACCATAGTTGACTAAGTTATATACGGAATAAATGTGTGTGCGGTAGGATCTAGGGCAGTAACTGACTATGAGTTACGAAGTACGGAGTATTAAGTAAATAAAAAAACAGGAAACAAAAGAAAAAACAAAAAGAAATCAAAAAGAAAAAAAAGAGAGTACTCCCTAAATTCAAATACATCTAGAAATAAAACTGGATAGGAAAATCAGATCTAGGATACCCGATACCCACAGGTTACAAAGAAATTAGAAAGAAAAAAAAAGAAAAAAAGAAATGCCCAGATCTTGCTCTCGGATCCAACCCGCTGAATATTTCCAAAGGTCGGATCCCCCGAGATCTAGCAATCCAAAGCTTCTATCGAGGATCACAGTCCATCTGCTCACCTTTTGCGTCACTCCAAATGCAGAGCGAGGATGGCATTCGCTTCTTGCCACCAATCCAGTCCTAAAAGGACCACCATTGCGCGCCTTGCGTAAACGGCGCTCGCCATTGCTAACTATGGCTAGATCGCCATGAGGCGATTCTTTCCCAAAAAGTTCTAAGGCGCGCCACATGGCGCGTTTAAGCCTATCCATTTCTAACATTGCTGCCTCCAGAGCAAAACCCTCCATGCACCTCTTCAAAACCATATGTCGAGCCCTCAATGTGGCCATTAAAGCCGCATCTAGTTAGGACTTTTTTGGATACTTCAGACCACCCCATCCAACGTCTCCCAAAACTCCATCTCAACTTCCTCGTCCAAGCCAGCTTGAGGAGCATAAGCACTCACGACGTTAACCGCACATCCACCCAACACTAACTTAATAACCATCAACTGGTTGGTAATCCTCCTCACTTCCACCAGAAACTCTTGCAGCTCCTGTGCCACCAAAACACCAACTCTGTATCTACTCCTTGCACCACTCGAGTACCACAACTTGAACCCATCCACATCTCGTGCACACACGCCTATTTAATCCTCTTTCTCTTAAGAACTTGTACCAACTCAATCGACTTTCGAGTGAGGGTCCCTATGTTCCACAAGCCAAAACACGCACTAGACACAACCTTATCCCTCTGCGCTAGCCCCTCACCCACCCGACAATATGACCTTAAGTTCACATTGCTAGCCAAAGCCACCCTCCCCTAACACCAACACACGGAAGAAACAATTTAGCAACCAACCAACAAACAACACAATGAAAGTAGACTACCCCAACAAATAAATAAAAACAACATAAACAATAAGGAAAAGCGCAAGGCACAAGGCAAAGCCAAACAAATGGAGCACAAAGAGATGCAGATAAAAGAGGCAAACAATTCATCTGCATGTTTTTATTCAAAGAGCAAGCCAGGCTAACAACTACGAGAGCACCATCAAATGCCAAAAAAAGAGGCAAACAATTATAAATACGAGGTAAATAATATGCAATTATAACTATGAAACCAATAAGAGCCAAATATACAAGAAGCGAAAAAATAATTGATAAAAACGATAATGATATTATTATTCAATCCAATTGAAACAATTCTTAGAATAGATGAAGCTTACGACCTACAGGACTACTGCACATAAGGAAGCATGATCTTCGTATACAAGTCTCATTAACAGCCTAGTTGGGGAAAACATCCCAATAGAATTTAAAACAATATTATTATTATTATTATTATTATTATTATTACTCTATATTATTGTTGTTGTTATTGTTGTTGTTGTTATTATTATTATCATCATCATCATCATCATCACCATCATTCAATCCAATTGAAACATTTCTTACAATAGATTTCAACCAACAGGAATATTACACAGAAGGAAGAATGATCTTCGTGCATAAGTTTCATTCACAGCCTAGATAGGGAATACATCCAAAAAATAGAATTGATAACAACAATAACATTATTGCTATTATTGAATACAATTGAAACAATTCTTACAAAAGATGAAGATTGCAGATTCTTTACCTCTTCTCTAATTTATCAACACATGCTAAGACCTCTTTCTTCACTTTATCCTCCCCTTGAAGATAAGGCCCTGGATTGAGTACGAAATTCATATCATAATTATCTCTCTTGTACACTGTATTTCCGAGGACGACATCGACCCTGAGATCCGTAAATTGACCTAGAAACTTCCCTCTTCCCCGCAAAGGCATCATCGTTGCCGGCAAGAATTGCAAAGGCATCATCGTTACAGATTCGGCAAAAGAAGAGAAGAATGAGAGCTTAGATTTTCAGGAAGGAAGCGTTATGAAGTCGGCATAAATTTTCGGTAAAGAAGAGAAAGAATGTTTGTATTTGCACGCATCTCAAATGTGTATGATAAAAGCTACTAGTATCACACCCGTCGCTGCACGGGTCATAGTTACGATACTAACTTAAGATCATTTTTAGAAATATAAATTGGTATATAATGGAATATAGAGATTTCATTATTTTAAAGTATAAAAGTAAAATGATTTACAAATTTCGAAAAACTTCTTTATAAACTACATCACTCATATGTATAATTTGTGTGAGCATTCACTTCGTTGTATATCAGAATCTTCAAGCCATTGCGATTTATTACTCTTTAAACTGCAACATACACTTTCTCATGACTAAATACCAGTTTCCGTAACAATAGTTCAATATGTTTCAGATATTGTTCTTGATAATAATTCAATAATTTGACTTATCTAAGTAATAATTCAATATATTAATGTATTTATTTTGGAATTTTATTTTCGTATTTAAGTGGTACCATTAACTTACCCTATGGTATTTATTTTCTATTTTATTTTAGATCACTTACCATTTTTACACGTATCCATGCTTATAAATTATAGTATTAATAGTATTTATTTTAGAATACTTATACTATTGTTACATGTTTCCATGCTTATAATATTAATAGTATTAATTTATAATTTTTTAATTTTTGCATTTAAATGGTACCATTTTCTTAATGTACCATATTTATTGTTTAATTTATGTTATAACACTTACCATTTTTACACGTTACCATGCTTGTAAATTGTAGTATTAATTGATATTATTATTTTGTAGTTTTCTATTTTATTTTTTTATTTAAATGGTATCATTTACTTACCGTACCGTATTTATTTTCTAATATATTTTAGAATACTTATCGTTTTAATAATTATTTTATTTTCTAATTTATTTAGAACATTTACCTAATTTATTTTAGAACACTTACCATTTATTTTATTTTGTGTTCAAATGGTACCATTTGCTTATCGTGGTGACATACCATTCCGTATTTATATTCTAATTTTCTAATTTGAACACTTACCTTTTTAAAAAAATCATGTTTTTAAAGTATAGTATTAATATTAATTTTGCAATTTTTTAATTTATTTTCTATATAAATCATACTAATTACTTACCAAACCACGTTGTTTTCTAATTTATTTTAGAACACTTATCATTTTTAGATGTACTCTCTCTGTCCCTAAATAGATTACAATTTTTTTCTCTCCTCTCAATAACTTTTGTTTGTTTACGCGATTTCATTAAGTATTTGATAAAATAAAATATTCTTATTACTTATTGTTTTGTAGAACTATTGATGTAGTTGTTTAATATGTAATTTTTATATCTTATTGATATATCAATTTGTAAATAAAATGAGTTCTAAAAGTAAGAAATTTTGCTCCGTAACCCGCAATTTGTAATGAAATTTGGGACTGAGGTAGTATTTTATTTTCTCTTTTATTTTAGAACACTAACTTAATTTATTTTAGAAAACTTATCATTTATTTTATTTTCGTTTTTAAATGGTGCTAATTGCTTAACATACCATATCTATTTATTTTCTAATTTTTTTAATTAGAACATTTGTCATGTTTAAAACTTTTCCATTCTTTTAAATTATAGTATTAATATTAATTTGTAGTTTTTTATTTTATTATTTTATTTAAATTTTATCATCTACTTACCGTACCATATTTATTTTCTAATATGTTTTAGAAAACTTACCATTTTACGCGTTTGTGCTTGTAAATTATAATATTTTTTAATGATAAATAATTAATTTGTAGTTTGTTTGAAAATAAATCATTTTAATCTTGCCCATACTTTATTAATTTGTAATTTTTAAATTTTATTTTAATATTTAAATGGGAGTGCATTTTATTTCCATACTTCAATTCCGCAATGGTTCACTACTATTTAATTTAATTTAATTTAAAAGCTTAAATGATGTAACATTTAAATAAAAATAAAAATCAAAACATACATAAAATAGAAGGAAGGAAAACATTAATGTAAAATAATTAAACTACCATTTATGTTGTCAGCACTTTCCATATATGAGTGTCATGCATAGGCGGGAAAAAATTCATGTCTTTTTAAATAATGTATAGATGTATAGATTTGTACCCCAAACCCCACTTTGTACCCCGTAGATTTGCACGAACACTTTGTATTGGTGTAAAACTAATTTTTGTTAATGCACTGACACTTTTTGTCCGTGTAAATTTTTGTTAGTGCACAAACACTTGTGTCGGTATAAATCATCAAAATGTTTGTATATAACTGTGGTGTACAAATGGGGTACAATTTGTGGTGTAAGTGTAGCATGACCCTAATGTCTACTACGTACTCCCTCCGTCCATAAAGAGTTACCCACTTTGACTAAAGTAGAAATTAACGGAGTGATAATTTTGTGTTAACTTTCCAAAAATACCCTTGATGTGATGGGTAAAAGTAGAATGTGATGTGTAGATTATTAGGAAAAAGGTATGATGTGATAGGTAGGGTTTGAAAAAGTAAGGGGTAAAAGTGGTTTTTTAATAGAAATGGGTAGGAGATTGTGGGACATGATTTTTTTGAAAGGTGTAAATCTTTTTGGGACGGAGGGAATATATTATTATTTTTTAGTTTTCACCTTGAGCTCTAAGGTACACATTTTTATCAAAAAATATGCTAAATATGACATGGATGTTTTCATTTGCATGTAAGTTCCTTTTTTAAAAGTTTAATGTCAAAAACATTTGTCAATAACGACTTCATTATTATTATTTTAGTTAATTTCTCGAGCTATTAAGGTACCATCACATTTTTTTACCAAAATTTAAATCCATCAAAAAAGTTCCAAAATTTGACATAGACGTTTCGATTTACATATAAATCCCTCGTAAAAGTATTATGTCAAAAAAACTCGTCAATAATGTCTAAATTATTATTTTTTTAGTTTTAACTTCAAGCTCTAGGGTACCATTACATTTTTTGCCAAATTGTAAATTTATCAAAAAAGTTTCCAAATTTAACATGGATATTTCTATTTGCATGTAAAATCTTTTATTTTTAAAAAGATTCATGTAAAAAAGACTTGTCTATAACGTCTTAATTCATATTTTTTTATCTTTGGCCAAGAGCTCTTGAGGTACCAACACATTATTAGCCAATTTTTGAATTCATCAAAAAAGTTGCAAAATTTTACATGGTTGTTTCTATTTAATGTTAAATTATTTGTAAAAGTTTCATGTCAAAAAGACTTGTTAATAATGTCTAAATTATTACGGCATATTTTTTTTAGTTTTGGCCTTGAGTTCTAGGGTACAATCATAATTTTTTGGGCAAATTTTTAATCCATAAAAGCATTTGCCAAATTTGACATGGGTATTTCTATTTGTATGAAAAATCCTTTGTAAAAGTTTTATATCAAAAAGACTTGACAATAATGTCTTAATTATTATTTTTTTAGTTTTAGCCTCAAGCTCTTTAGGATACCAATCACATTTTTGACCAAATTTTAAATCCATCAAAAAAAGTAGCGAAGTTTTAAATGAATGTTTCTATTTTCATGTAAAATACTTTGTAAAATTTTCATATAAAAAGACTTGTTAGTAATGTCTAAATTTTTATTTTTTTAGTTTTGGCCTGAGCTGTTAGAGGTACCATAACATTTTTTGTCCAAATTTTAAATCCATAAAAAAAGTTCCAAAATGTGACATGGATGTCAAATCCTTTATAAAAATGTCATGTCAAAAAGACTTATCAATAATGTGTTAATTATTGATGGTGTAAATTACCACGCAAAAATTAAGTGTGAGTAATCGGAAGGGTTGTAGGTGGAATCACCTGTAACCCGGTTTGTTATTAATGATAATAGGAGTTATTACAAATACAAGCCGTGTAGGTTAATTAAAACATGCCTCACAAATGAGGCTTTTAAGGGTATTTATAATAATCCTAAGCACGTCAAGCACGTCTCTGATTATTCAACCGGTCAGGCAGCTGGCCGGCCCACCAGGTACACTTGAGTAAATCTTCGGGTATTGGCATCTGGTCTCCTCATCCAACCGGTCAAATAACCCGGGCTGAAAAAGACGCATGCTGTTCGGTGAACCAACCGGGTGGTATCCTTGGGTTATTACCCATCAATTATTACTCCTTCCGTCCCAAATTATTTGCCACATTTCTCTTACCGAGGCAAAATATCAAGCATTTTCAATTCATTTTATTTACATATTGATAAATAAATAAAAAATAAAAATTACATATCAAAAAACTACATGAAAAGTTCTTCGAAATAAGAGATGTCAAGAGTATTTTATTTTATCAATTATCTAATTAAAACGTAGGAATAAACAAAAGTTCCCACGACCGCTGAAAAAGCAAATGTGGCAAATAATTTGGGACGGAGGAAGTATTATTTTTAGATATATATATTTGAATGCAAAATCCTTTATAAAAGTTTAATGTCTAAAATATTTGCCAATAGGGTCTTAATCAAAAGTAAATTTCCATGTCATATTTGGTAACTTTTTTGATAAATTTAAAAAATAAAAGTTTAGACATTATTGAAATGCCTTTTTGACATAAAACGTTTACAAATGATTTTACATGTAAATAGAAACATCCATGTCACATTTTGCAACTTTTTTAATGCATTAAAAATTTAGAGAAAAATATGATGGTACCACTAGAGCTCGAGGTCAAAACTAAAAAATAATAATTTAGGTATTATTGATAAATATTTTTGACATGAAACTTCTATAGAGAAATTTATCTAAATAGTATAAAACATAATGATTGTTGCAAAATAGGACCATATATTTTTATTACTTAATATAGGACCATTGGTCATTATTCATTAGTTATTATTCAAGTAAATGTCCACTATCATTAAATTTTGCAACTTTTTTTGATGGATTTAAATTTTGGTAAAAAAAAATGTGATAGCACCCCTAATAGCTCGAGGCATTAACTAAAAAATAATAATGAAGTCGTTATTGACAAGTGTTTTTTATATTAAACTTTAAAAAAGGATCTTACATGCAAATGGAAACATCCATGTCATATTTAGCAACTTTTTTGATGAATTT